AAAAGAAATATAACCAGGGCAAGGTCCTTGTCTTGGAATAGCCCGGGACCCGCCTCCTAATTTGGTACCTACATCACCAGAGTCCCGAGATGTCGGGGGTGCTAAGTAGAAGTTAGGAGTGCCGAGTAGACATTGGGAACAAAGTTCCCTGGGTATTTTCAGGAGGAAAAGCTATCAAAGCGGACCTGGAAGGTGTCCTGGAGTGTAAGAGTGTGCATTCATTCGTTCTACAAATGTGGAATACCTACTATGTGCTGGTTCCTGTGCAGAGATGAGCAAAAATCTTTCCAGTCGGGGACACAATTTGAAATGAGGTCTGGAAGGATGGAGAACAGAGGATTTCCCCCAGAAAGTGGGGAATCCCAGGGTGTTTTCAGGACTGGGTGGAGCCAGGAGATAGAAGGGGAAGGAAGAGCAATCCTGGTGAAGTGGGTCTGACATCCCCCAGACTCTGACCTTCTCAGAAGTGCCCCTCGAATGTGCAGAGTGGGGTACAGGCTTGAGGAGGGTCATGGGGGGGGGGGCTGCTACCCTCAGCCTTTGAGAGGAAGGCGGTTCCAGATTGGGGCACCTGGAGCAGACACAGCCCAGAACTGAAATCTCAAGGTTGGGCAGAGGGTCTTCTAGCCAAGTGGGAAAGAGCTAGGAGCTGTATTTGGTATTTATCCCACTGGCACCATTAGGTGCCAAGCAGTTTACACATTAGTCATTTCATCTAATTGTCACTTACCCCCATTTTACAGATGAGGAAATTGAGGCTCAGAATCACTTGGTTGTCAGGGTCATCCAATAGGGAGTGAAGGGGCCGGGGTTTGAGTCCAGGTGGATGGGGCTCCAACCCGCAGCTTCTTTCAGGGGCCTCTCTGCTTTCACTTTCTGTTCCTCTGAGTCAGGTAATTTCCTTACAGGCCTCAGGAAAGAGCTGTGGGTCCTTGCTTGGGTTTCCACATTCTCTGGCTTGGGGAAAGTTTTGGCAGAACTCACCTAGAAGAGTGTTCTAGGAAATGTCTATCCCACAGCTTCTCTGTTCAGCCTTGGCCTTCATTGTTTCCAAAGAGTCACAGATCATATTGGAACTAGGACTTGGAGTAGCAGATGCTTCTGGTTTGGGGTAAATGATAAATGAGGGCCAGGTACTTTGGACAGAAGTAGTTTGTTGGCATGAACAGAGATGGAGTATGGGCTGAAACCTAGGAAGTGGGGGATGGGTGTGTTTATATATTGGGGGGCAGATAAAGTTCAGCTGGTCCACAGTGCTAAGGGACCCCTCCTCATGGAGGGGCTGTGGGAAGCTTTCTCTCTGCTTTTGTTTACACCAGGGTCTGTCTCTCAACCTTGCCACATTGACATTTTGGGCTACATAATATTTTGTAGGATGTTAATGAGCATCCCTGGCCTCTGCCCACGAAATGCCAGTAGCATCCCCCATTCTGTGTTCCAGAGGATACAACCTGCCCTTGAATGTCTTTTAATCTTTAAATTGTTCCCCCCACCAAAGGTCTGTTGTCCTGCGGGATGAACCCCGAAAGGGAGGGGGCTCCTTGGTCAAATAAGATTGAGAAGCACTGTATGTCGTGGGCTCACATCTTGGAGGTTCATGGCACACAATAGCATATTAAAGACTTGGGAAGTCCTGCCGTAGAGAAATCTGTTTAGCCTAGTGTTTCCCATTGCACTTGACCGTGGTAACCGTTAACCTTGCAGGAGACACACTGTACACATTTGCTCTGACTGGGCCCTCTGCCTTGGTGCCTCTCCCCTTCTCTGCAGGGGGGGCCTCCTTTAATTCCCTATGATCCAGCTCAGTGTCACCTTCTGCAAAGCCTTCCTGCTGTCCCCTCCTCTCCTTCCCGGTTACTGTCCATATCACCACACCCCTGGGTCCTCCATTGCTCCAGTGAAGTTCTTGAGGACCGGGCCCTGTCTTAGTCAGGTGTTAGCAGAGGCTGCTCAGGAAGGGCTGCTGGGAGAATTCAGCGATGTCCAGGTGACTGGGCCACGTTTCTAGGAAGGTGAGTCACTCCTGTCCCTTGTTTCTCTGCGTGGTGTGTAGACTTCTGCTTTGCTATGGTCTGAGTCACCTTCCTCCCTCACCCTGGGATGGAGGAGTCTGCCAGGCACAGGGTGATGTCTCTGCTGCTGTGAGCATGTAAGGACACACTATCACGCTGGACACGAGTGGATGCTAGGCAGGGCCAGAGGGAGGGAGGGTATTGGGGTCTTGTGACTCTCTAGGAAAAGGACTAGAGCAGCGGTTCTCAACCTGTGGGTCGCGACCCCTTTGGGGGTCGAACGACCCTTTCACAGGGGTCGCCTAAGACCATCGGAAAACACACATATAATTACATATTGTTTTTGTGATTAATCACTATGCTTTAATTATGTTCAATTTGTAACAATGAAAATACATCCTGCATATCAGATATTTACATTACGATTCATAACAGTAGCAAAATTACAGTTATGAAGTAGCAATGAAAATAATTTTATGGTTGGGGGTCACCACAACATGAGGAACTGTATTAAAGGGTCGCGGCATTAGGAAGGTTGAGAACCACTGGACTAGAGGATGGAGGTTAAGTGCCTTGGTTTTAGGAGAAACGACTCCTGAGAGAGTTGACTCCCAAGTTCTAACATCTGGAAGCAGCGATCATCATTTTCCCGTCCCCTGGCACCTCCAGAGCTGTGTGAGGCTAACACAGGCTGTCACTGAAAGCACGTAGCACCGGCCTGGCACATACTAAGTGCTCACTAAATGGGAGCTCTGACTTTGCGGCTTCTGCCCCGTTTGGGACTTGGGACAGCTTGTGCTGGGGCAGGGGGAGGTGGCTGAAGTAGGGGAGACTAAGCCAACTGCCCACCCACCCCCGCCCCTCAGGAGCTGGAGGATCTTCAGAAGGACCTTCCCCAGTACCTGCGGAACCTGTCCAGCGATGATGCGGACGTCCTGGTGTGGCACGCTCTCCTTCTGCCCGTGAGTGTCCCTGGGACCCTGGTCCTGGGTTGGGGTGACTTAGGTCAGGGGCCTGGGCAGGCGTGGTTACGACTGGGCAAGAATTTTCCCTGCCTTGGAGTCCCTTTTTTACTGCCTCTGCCATTGGTAGAGGGGTCTCTCTCTGGATTGATTGCTTCCGAGGTTGAGGCAGATACCCTTTAGTTCATCCCAGCTGTCGCAAATGGTAAGATTTTATTCTTAAGAAAAGAAAAGATTCTTGGGCCTTTGTCAGGGGCTAGATATAAACTTCCTGTTTCCCACAGTTGATCGGGGGTAAAGAGCAGTTCCCCAAATTGTGCCAACCTCAGAGTGTTCTCCAGACATTTGTTATATCAAGACGGTCGGTGAAGCTGGCATCTACACAAGTGGCATCGGTAAAAGAAAGCGCATTTCATCAGTGTCCTGAAGGGGTCAGGGGTAATGGACACAAAAATGAGTCAGTTGGGCGGAGAATACTTTCTTTAGGAGGCCATTCTCCAGCAGTGTTAGTGCCTAATTACATGGAGTAGTGTTGTTCAGATTTCAAAGCTCGCAGACAAGATGCAGAAGTCATTCAGCCTTCTGTGAGGCCACACCCTTCGCCTTGTCTCTGCTTCCTGGCCCCAGCCCTTTCTTGTTATTCAAGAACATAAATGCTGACACATTTTATTTGCCCAGTAGTTGCCTCATCTCTTATTTCAGACACATCCAAGACCACTGTGGCTTCTGTTTTGCCTTCTGCTAAGGCAGAGGAGTTCTCTTAAAATCTGACTGTGCTTAAATGTGTATGTCATTCTGTCCTTGGCCTGTCTTCTCAGTAGCAAAGGTTCTGAAAGGTCTGGAGCTTTGGCACCAGCCTGGACTGGGGTCACCGAAGTTCTGGGGTTCCTTCTGTCTCGGGGTGTAGCGCAGTGCTCATGTGTGGAAATAGAGTCCACAGCTCTGGGTTCCCACCCAGCCCTGCCCCTGTGGGCCTGGGCAAGTTACTTACGTGCATTGAACTTGAGTTTCCTCATATAGAATTGGAGATGCTGATAGTCATGAGTTTTCATAATACTTATAACAGTTGACACAAACGTAGTGCCTGCCATGTGCCAGGCCCTGTTCTAAGTCCTTAGCATAAGTTAACTCATTTAATCCTCACAGAAGCCCTATGAAGAAGTGTAGTATTATTCCCATATGGAAGCACAGAGAAGTTAAGTGACTTACCTCAGGTCACGCAGCTGGTGAGGAGCAGAGCCAAGATTCACACCCAGGCAGTGTGGCTCCAAAGTCCATGCAGCCCCTACAGTCTGCCACCCGGCCTAATGTGTGCCAAGCCCTTAGCACAGGGCAGCACAGAGTAGGTGCTCAGGCAAGCCTTCAGGTTGCTCAAACTCTGGAGGATTTCCTACTGGGTCCCAGCAGCTTCCATCCCTCGATCTCTCTAGCCACAGTATTCTTCCTTTCTTTTAAGTCACGATAAAATACACGTAACAGTATTTACCATCTTAGCCATTGTCACGTTTACAGCTCAGTGGCACTGAGTCTATTCACATTCTTGTTCAACCAGCACCACCATCCATCTCCAGAGCTCTTTCCTCTTCCCCAAACTCCGTACCCATGAGGCACCAACTCCCCATTCCTCATCCCCTCCAGTCCCTGCTAACTTTCTAATTTATATCAATGAATTTGGCTATTCTAGATCTCCCACAAAAGTGGAATCATTCAAAGTGTGTTCTTTTTTGTCTAGCATATTTCACTGAGCATAATGTCTTCGGAGTTCATCCATGGTGTGGCCTGTGTCAGAATTTCCTTCCTTCTTAAAATATATTTTTTATTGATTTCAGAGAGGAAGGGAGAGAGAGAGAATCATTGATCGGCTGCCTCTTGCACGTGCCCCCCCCCCCACCCCCCCATCGATCCCGCAATCCAGGCATGTGCCCTGATTGGGAATTGAACTGTGTGACCTCCTGGTTCATGGGTCGACAGTCACTGAGCCACACCAGCCAGGCTGAATTCCTTTCCTTTTTAAGGTTGAATAATATTCCATTGTATGTTCATGCCACATTTTGCTTAAGCATTCATTCGTAGATGGACGTTTGGGTTGTTTCCACGCAATGAATAACGCAGCTGTGAATGCGGGTGTACAAATACCTATTTGAGTCCTTGCTTTCACTTCTTTTGAGTATATCCCCAGAAGTGGAATTGTTGGATCATATGGTAATTCTGTTTAAATTTTTGAGGAACCACTGTACAACTTTCCACAGTGGCTGCCCATTTTACATCTCCAGTCCCCTCAGTTTTACGGTTCCCTCACTTTCTCCATTTCATCCCCTCCAACCATGGTGTTCTCCTGTATTTGCTAACAGCTCCTAAACACAGAACGTATATCCTTCTCCTTTCCCGTAATTCTCAGGAAGGCTTTAAAACTGAGATGACCATTTGCGACAGCATGGATGGACCTTGAAGGTAGACGGAGAAAGACAGATACTGTATGATCTCATGTCAATGAGGAATCTAAAAAAAATAAGTTAAAATAGAAACCCCCCAAACTCCCAGAAATAGAGATCAGACTGTGGTTATCAGAGGCAGAGGGTGGAGATGAAGGAAAGTGGTCAAAAGATGCAAATTTCCAGTTATAAGGTAAATACATGCTAGGGATGAAATATATAATGTGATGATCATAGCTAACACTACTGTAGGTCTATAGGAAGGTTGTTTTAAGAGAGTAGATGCTGCCCTAGCTGGGTTGGCTCAGTGGATAGAGCGTGGGCCTGCGGACTGAAGGGTCCCAGGTTCGATTCCGGTCAAGGGCACATTGCCTGGGTTGTAGGCTCGATCCCCAGTGTGGGGCTTGCAGGAGGCAGCCAGTCAATGATTCTCTCTCATCACTATCTTTTTCTCCCTCTCCCTTTCTCTCTGAAATCAGTAAAAATATATTTAAAAAAAAAGAGAGAAGATCCTAACAGTTCTCATCACAAGGAGAAACAGTTTTTTCTTTTCTCTTTTCTTTTTCCTGTATCTATATGAGAAGATAAGCGTTAGCTGCTGGTACTGTGGTAATTATTTCATAACATATGTAAATCTAATCTTCAGGCTATACACCTCAAACTTATATAATGGTGTGTGCCAATTATTTCTCAATAAATCTGGGGAATGGTTAATTATCTGTACAAAAAAAAAAAAAGATGAGATGGTTCTTAGAGCTCATTTAGTCAAACTTGACCCACTTTTCAAATGAGGAAACTGAGGCCTAGAGATGGGAGGCGCTGGCCCGGATCACCCAGCAAAAGCCAGGATCCGGCTTGTGACCCCCCCAGGTCAGAGTTCTTTTGTGATTCCACTCTTCCACTAACCCAGGGCTCAATTGCCAAATGAATGCAGGTGCCGTCTGTCCCCATTCATGATTCTTTCTGGGAGTGGAGTAGAGGCTGCCTTGGACCCTGGGGTGGGGGCAGGGAAGGGGGAAACCAGACCAAGGCCCGAGGAGGAAAATGATCCTTTCAGAGCAGCCCTGCCTCGGAACAGAGCTTCACTCCTTCTCTTACACAGGAGAAGCCGCCCTACAACCTCAGGGCCTTCAACCTGCGCATCAACTTCCCCGAGGAATATCCACTGAGACCCCCCACGGTGACGTTCATAACCAAGATCTACCACCCCAACGTGGGCATTGATGGCCAGGTGTGCCTACCCATCATCAGCAATGAGAACTGGAAGCCTCATACCAAGACCTACCAAGGTGGGCTGGGTTCTGCCTCCAGGGAGGGGCCCATGCGGGAGAGGGGTTATGGGGCTGATTTTGAGTTAGAAAAGCCCAAAGAGAAGAGATAAAAATTGTGGGTCTCAGTGGAGTCTGTTGTTGGATAGAAGGGATGTGTCCTGAGATACCTGCTCCTGCCTCTGTTCTTACACGTGGGCAGGTGTGACAACAACGTGTCTGGGTCATGGGAGAGAGAAGCCGCTGAGCTATAGAGGGACAGGCTTGGGATAAGAAGGCCGCTGCTCTCTATCTGTGGACCTTGGTGAAGTCTCCACTCCTTTCCAGGGCTCAGTGCCCTAAAGGAGAGTTGAGGGGGTTGGCCCAGTAATGACAATCCAATCACTTAATTAAGCACTTTTGGCACTCTGCAGAGAGCTTCACGCATAATGTCATTGCATCCCCTGAGCAGCTCCCCAAGATACTGCTGTCCTTAGCCCCATTTAGTAGATGAGCACACGGAGGCGCCAAGAGGTGGAGCACTTGCCTCAGGTCTGGCACTGAGTCTATTCAGCTGGCCAGCGGCAGCGCTGGGATGTGCAGCCGGGCTTGGCGAGCTCGGCACCATCCAGCAGGTCTTTCTGCAGTGATGGGAATGGTGCGTGCACTGTCCAGTTCCGCAGTCACTAGCCACAGTGTGGCTATTGAGGGCTTGAAATGTGGCCAGTGTGGCTGAGGAACTGAGTTCCTAGTTGTAGTTCATTCTTATTCATTTAAAACGAGATAAGCACATGTGGCTGTTGGCTCTAGTCAATGTGTGATCTCTCCTGCCTCTGGACTATCTCAGTTCTTAACCCCGGCAGGAGGGTCCTGGGGTGGGGGCGGGTGGGGAGTGCTCGTCGGATGACCTTCAGGGACCCGTGAAGCACTCTTATCTCAGAGCTCCATGTTTGTGCGCATGTGCACGTGCCTGGGGAGACGGGCCCCTGCCTTCACCGGGTTCCCAAAGGCATCTGTGCAAGATCAACCACCGGGCAGTAATGGTTCTCAGTCTTTAGCCTCAGAACCCTTTTTCCCAAATAAAAGTTTATTTGGAACCTTAATATCAAACAGAGGAAAACGAAGTGGTTCTTGTTGAAAAGGGAGTGGGACCCAGACACCCCACGTATCTCATCACGGAACATAGTTTGGAAACCACTGACAGAACCAGTCAGAGCTTTCGACATCGTCAGCTGGGAACGGGAGGGGCATTCAGTTTGGTTAGGGAGTGATCCTGAGAGGTGGAACCTTCTTGGGGGTTCCCCAGGGCGTGAGCATGGAGTTTCAGGGGGATCTGGGCAGCCATCGGACCCTTCCCAGGATTTTTCTCTCCGTCCTCATGTCCTGCTCTGGCCTCTCTCCCCAGTCTTGGAGGCCCTCAGCGTGCTGGTGAATAATCCGGACCTGGGAGAGCCCCTGCGCCTGGAGCTTGCTGACCTGCTAACACTGAACTCGGAGCAGTTCCACAGGAGCGCCGAAGAGTTCACCCTCCAGTTTGGAGAGCCCCGGCCCTCCTAGCTCCGGTTCTGCCCTCTGCACCGGGTCCTGTCCGTGTGATGGCGGACACACCACATGGACTGGGGCCAGAGCCCCTTGGTTTTTCTGTGTTTTTCCTTTCTTAGGTTGTTAGTCGTTAGTTGTGTGTGTGGTATGTGTGGACCCAGTTCCAGGTTTACCTGGCCACAGGTGTGCTTTCCTTACTTCCTTTCTGTGCCCCAGAGCCAGGCAGTTTAGGTTTGCAGAGTCACAGGCCAGCTGCTACTAGTGGCTCCATCTTAGAGATCACCTTCCAGGCCAGCTGGCAGGAAATGAGCCCTGCAGGCCACCAGAAAACCTCAGGGACCCAGGCATCTGGGGGAATGGGGGCGGGAGGCGGGGCACATAGAAGGGAGTCCCTTGCAATTGGGTGATTTGTTGATTACATTATCAGCCAGGCTGTGCAGATTTAAGTGCTAAACCTTTTCTTTTCCACTGATGAAACGCTAAGTGAAGAATCTGATCTCTGTCCCAGAAATCTGACTACATTGTTTCCAAACCACTTGCAGTCCCATTAGGTTGGGGCCAGGCTTTAGGCTGGGAGGAGCAGCCCCTTCAGCTTCCAGTCAAGGGGGAGTCACGGAAACCATGTGTTTTTCCAGCCATTAAAGTCTCAGATGACGTGTGGAGTCTGGCTCAGTGTTCGCTGAGGGGATGGGGCAGTCTTATCAGGAGAAGAGGAGGCTGGGGAGTTAGCTGCTGTCTAATAAAAGGTGGGACCCTACTTCCCATGAACTGATGGCCTCGAGCCGGGAGGAACCCCAGATATTGTGGAGCCACGAGGGACTAGGCCATCCTGGCCAGAGGGTCGCCAACACCTCCCCAGGGGAATGTCCTCATTTCATAGATGAGGCGGCAGCGCACAGGGCACAGAGTGGATTGCCAGGTCACCTCCTGCCTCAGTGCCAAGCTGGCTGGCTTTTGTCTCTGTGTTTTTCGTGGGCTGTTACCAGCACAGCATTCCCCAGTGGCTGATAAAGCCAGACAGGACTGTTAGCAGGACATTGTCGTCAGCTCAGCGGTTCCTCTCTAATGAGCAATGGAAAAACAAAAACAAGCCACAACTTCAGGCAGAGTCGGAGGGATTAGCTGAACCGGAAGGAAGAACCTTCTGGGTGTGATGGTTCTGAGTTACAGGAAAACCATCTGCTTTTAAAAGACAGAAATGTGGGGTATCTTTGAGTCAAGGGCCTCACTGTAGGTCCCACTAGCCTACGTGGGGTGAGATTTCTAGAGCATCTTCTATTCCAGCCCTGCCCTGGAATTCTCTAATCGGGAGAAGTGTGGAGAGAGGGAAGAGACAGGAGAAGTGCCACCGATGGCCGGAAGTGTAGGATTTGTTTTCACTCTTGGCCACCACTTACTGAACGTATATGTGACAGGCACCAGGCAAGGCTTTTGCTCATTTAATTATTTCCTTTAACCCTCACAACACCTCCATGAGGTTTGAACTTATTTTGTCCACAATCAGATGGTGAATAGGTTCAGAGACGCTAGCTTGTTGGCCCAAGGTCACACATTTGGTTAGTGGTGGGACCCAGGCCATTGTCCTTTCCCAAATGCCGTTCATGCTGGTAGAAAAGATTGTGGCAGCCCTGGCCGGTGTGGCTCAGTTGGTTGGGCATCGTCCTATGTACCAAAAGGTTGCTGGTTTGATTCCCAGTCGGTACATGTCTGGTTGCAGGCTCGATCCCCCCGAATGGGTGTGCAGGAGGCAGCCAATCGATATTTCACTCTGACATCACTGTTTCTCCCCCCCTCCCCCTTTCCCCTCTCTCCAAAAGTCAATTTAAAAATCTTTTAAAAAAGAGAAAAGATTGTGTCAGGTGAGGAAATGTCAGCGGAGGGACCCTGGCAGCCAGGGTTTATTATCCCAGAGAGAGACAGGTTCCTGGCTGGGATAGGGAGGGAGCACTGAGGGCCAGACAGGATTTTACAAAAGTACCTTTAATGCAGTTAAGACTGGTACCACCTGCCTTTGCCCAACCCGGCTCTCTTGTCTCTGGAGCAGAAGGGAGCCTTGGGCCGTGGCTGGTCAGCTGGGCGCCCTGCCCACAGGGTCAGTCAGCTCCTCATTTCTTCTTGGTCTTCACCAGTCCCTTCTGCACTAGGCAGCGATACAGCTCCTGGATGTAGGTATAGACGCACTTGGAGTCAGGCACTGCCAGCCGCACCATGTCATCCACCTCCAGCAGCTGGGCACAGTCGGCCAGTTTCCTGAGAGGCAGAGGAGGGGTGGGGTGAGGACCAGAGCCAAGGTGAAGAACATGGGAGCTAGGGGAAGGGGTGGGGGCAGCCCAGCAGGGATGGATTGTGTGTTGGAGGTGGGAGTCATCTAGGCCAACTATCCCATTGCACAGATGAGGAAGCTGAGGCCCTGACGGAGTCAAAACTGACACTCAGCTTGGTCTGCTCCCAGAGCCCATGTTTTCATTGCACTGTGGCCTCACGTGGAACGGGACCCTCTGGTCTCTAGGTCTGCATTAACTCACCCCTCCCACATGCTCCCGTATCTGTCCTCTGGAAGGCCAAGCCCCTCCGGAAGAGTTTCAAGGACAGAACCCCAGTCCTTGCTAGTATGATGGCTTATAGCTGAGCCATCTCCATCTTTATTCCGTCTCCGTGTATTTGCTGAGGGAGTTCAGCACTGAACAAAACCCAAACTTCCCTGCTCTCATGTTAACTGACATTCTCGTGGCGGAAGACAGTAATCAAACACATGAAATAGATGGCTCATCCGGTGGTGAGAGGTGCTGTGGAAGAAAATAAGGCCAGGAAAGGAGGCAGGGAATGTTCCTGTGTTGACAGTATTTTTAAAAGGATGCTCAGAGAAGGTCTCTTAAGGAGAGTAAATCATGTCCATATCTTGGATATAGTTTAAGTTTAAAAAATTTGGCTCTCAAAAGAAATTTCAATCGTTGTACTGTTGATATTTGGCTCTGTTGACTAATGAGTTTGCCGACCACGGATCTAGGCCAACTATTCCATTGCACAGATGAAGCTGAGGCCCTGACGGAGTCAAAACTGACACTCAGCTTGGTCTGATGCCAGAGCCCACGTTTTTATTGCACTGTGGCCTCACGTGGAATGGGACCCTCTGGTCTCCAGGTCTGCATTAACCCACCCCTCCCACATGCTCCCGTATCTATCCTCTGGAAGGCCAAACCCCTCCGGAAGAGTTTCAAGAACAGAACCCCAGTCCTCGCTAGTATGATGGCTTATAGCTGAGCCATCTCCATCTTTATTCCGTCTCCGTGTATTTGCTGAGGGAGTTCAGCACTGAACAAAACCCAAACTTCCCTGCTCTCATGTTAACTGACATTCTCGTGGCGGAAGACAGTAATCAAACACATGAAATAGATGGCTCATCCGGTGGTGAGAGGTGCTGTGGAAGAAAATAAGGCCAGGAAAGGAGGCAGGGAATGTTCCTGTGTTGACAGTATTTTTAAAAGGATGCTCAGGGAAGGTCTCTTAAGGAGAGTAAATCATGTCCGTATCTTGGACGAGGATTCCAGGCAGCAGAATAGCATGTGCAAAGGCCCTGAGGCAGGTGTGTTTGATGTGTGTGAGGGACTGCATGGAGGTTAGTCCTCTTTTTCTATCTTCCCAGCTGCTCTTTGGGGCGACGTGCCACTCCTGGCTTTGTGAAGGCTGATAATCTGAGCTAACCACCGTTGGGGCCTTGCTACCAGGGGCCAGGCGCTTTATCAAGTGTTTCCCCTTGAACTGTCTCATTTACACCTCCCCTCCGTCCTCAGCCAGCAGAAGAGGGACTGGACACGCAGAGCATTTTGATGATTTGCCCAAGGTTGAAGTGAGTGATATGGCTGGGACTCCACCCCAGGCTGGCCTGCCGCCTCTGGCATCCGTGCCCTGAAGCTGGGCCTCCGCAGCCCCAGCCTGCCAAACCACGTGGGTGCTGGCAGTGGGAGAAACCAGGGTCCCAGCAGAAAGCCTCCCTTGGGGCTGAGACAGCTGGGCCGAAACCCAAGCCGGACTGGCCTGGGTGCCGGGGGAGGAGCGCAGACGGGAGGATTTCGAAGAATGGGACCGGCTCCCTGCAACCGATGCAGTGACCTTGGCTTCTGGGTGTGGGTCTCTCCACACAGGAGCTGGGGGCCAGGCTCCTCCAGCAGCACAGCTGACTGAGCCCAGTGGGGGCTTCGGCACTGGCTGCCCCCCTCTGTCGGGACTTCACAGGAATCAGAGGAGAGTTCTACGGGGCGGTAAGGTGCGACGGCCCTGGCAGGGGCCATCTAGTTGGCACATTTAATCTTCACTCTCACCCATAAGGGTGGTTAAGTCAGCTGCCGAGAGTGACAGAGCTAAGGAGGAAGGAGGCAGGATTCACACTCGGCACCTCATCCTCCATTCTCCACGGTCCCTACCTCATCCTCGCCTTCACACTGCTGTCTGATGCCTCCTATCAGCCCATCATCATTACTGAGCCTCCTTATGCCTTCCTGTGGCTCTGCCTGGCGTGGAACCAAGGCGAGGCGGCTGCCAGAGGAGGACAATGCCTCATGCCCCACAGGCCAGGGACACCTGGCCAGGGCGGAGCTGCACATCCTTCTGATGCTCACTTGGAGCCCTCAGTCCTGGCTAGGAGTTCACTTTCCAGTCCCATTTCTGCCACAGCCCTCCTGTCCCACCCCGGGATGTCACGAAGCATCTCTACTTGTACCCACTCTGGGATGCTGTGAGGCTGGAACAGGATAAGCCAAGGAGAGCACTTAGCATGCCTGGCAGACAGCCCCTCTCCATCCATGTGTCTTGTCATCATCCTTAAAGGTGTTTCTGAGCCCTGAGCCCCCCTCTCCCCAGGCACACATCCCTTCCCTTGGCGGGATAATGTGGAACTGGAAGGAATCTTCCGGACCTCAAGTCGGTGGTTTCCAATGGCACTCTGGGTGCCCTAGGCCCTACAGACATGCTTCAGGGACCATCTTGGGAAGGGAGGTTGGGCATTAAGCTCCTGGAATCCCCCAACCAAAAAGGTTCCCCTTTAATTTGTTTTATATGTCGGGCATTCACATAATATTTTGAGAAATCTGCTGGGGGAAACACCCATCTGAAAGCACAGATCAATATCCAAAGCTCTCATTTTGCGGATGGGGACACGCAGGCCCGGAGAGGGGGAGGCTGCTGTCCCAGGCTTCCCTGCAGGCTGGTGGCCAGGCCTGCACATGACCAGAGGGCTCAGCCTCCCAGACCCAGGTGCTGCTAACATCTGCAGACTTCTTCCCTGTCCCGGGCTATAGAAGTGCCCCAAGAGTTGCCCTCACTGGCCACGCCCTCTGCACAGTCCTGTCTCTGCCAGGTGGCTCGGAAGCCTCTCCCTGGGACAGGAGAAAGCAGGCGCTGCTGGCGTGAGCTCCTGGGGAGTCCTGAGGCACCAGGAAGCGTCCAGGCCTCGGTGGGCACAGATGTCTGGCTGTAGTGCTTTGCTGGTGGGAGTGCCTCCCTGTCCCCCACTCGGCAGTGGTATCTGGCTCTCAGGTTCTTCCTTGGGCCACTCTGTTCCTCACACCCCTCCTGCCTTTCTAGTACCACCCATGGCTCCATCCCACCACCACTCCTGGCACCCAGCTGCTCTCTGAGCAGGAATAAACCCGCCTCCCGGTTCCAA